CCCCCCCCCCCCCCCCCGGGAATGTGCAGGCTGGGACTGCCAGCCCCAGGTTGCTGAGGACCAATCTAAGCCTTGGAGAAGGGGAAAGAGGAGTGGCCTGAGGGTCGGTCATTCTGCCCACCCTGCTTGAGTGTCCCAGGCTGTACCTTGGAGCTGGAAGGCACCCTGGGTACTGTCCTCCGGCTGCAGTTCTTCGTCATCCAGAGAGGACCAGGCACTCAGAGTGGCCTCCGTGATGGCAAACTGCTCAGCGACACCTGGGGACAGTAAGATCAGGCTCAGCGAATGGGAAGGGGGCACTCTATGCCCCTATGGGCCTCTCTGAGCTGGCCCTCTACACCCACATGATGAAGAAAGCCACCTCCCGCCCCGCCCGCCCTCCTGTGCTCTCACTGCTCAGATCCAGCTTCAGTCCTGTGGACCCAGCCTACAGCCTCTCTCCCCAAACTCCCCCATCCACTCACCTGCAGCAAAGCGCGCCTCTCGAAGCTCATCCGGGAGGCAGCAGTAATGTTCGTCCTCCGCTGGCGACAGCTCCCAGCCCGACTGCTGGGCGCTCCAGCCTTTCCACTCAATGAGGTGGGCCACTCGGCCACGGGCCATGGCCGTGGGCTTTGTGATATGGTCCTTGACGCTCTGCACCACGCCTGTGAGGCCACGGATGGCTATCGGGTGACCGTCCCAACACCAGCCCCAGCTCAGTACCACGTGCTACCCTGTGCCCTCCCTAGCCTGAAGGCTGTCTTCCACCTACATGTCCCAAACCCATTTTTATCCTGTTTCCTGCCCGTCTTGTTGAATCTGGATTGGGTTTAGAAACCAGCCATTCTTTTCTCCGACTGGCCGTTTCTCTCTGACCCAGCACCTTCCACTCATGAATTAACAGTCCTAGGAGAGTTTCCCTGTGCTCCCAGCTCTGCGGGTTAAGAATCCTGTGAGTGGAGCACTCAGGGAGTGCTGCCTAGAGGAGGTGGCCTGGAGTTGGGCTCTGAAGTCCTGTCAGGGTGGGGCAGAGGGTGGCCAGGCTGGCAGCTTTGTTTCACAGATGAGAAGAGGTTGAAACACAGAAGAGCTGGCACACACCAACACAAGCAAGGGTGAGACACAGGGACAAAAGGTGGGACCTCAGGGGCCAGGCTGGGGCTAGGAAGCCGAAGTGAAGGCTCGGTGTTGTCCATACAGCCATGGAGAGCCACAGCCAGACACAGACCAGGGAAGGGGTAGATTAGATCTGTTCCTTGGGATTTCATCCCAACTGAAAGACTAAAAGTCCAAGGGTGGAGATGGGAGATAAGGGACAATTAGGGGCCATTGCAGGGACCCAGCAAGAGGAAGGGCAAGGGCTGGAAAGGAGCAGGGCTGGGGGAGTTTGTGAGTTGACTGTCTGGATGTGGACGTTGAAGAGGAGGCGGCAGGAACAGCTCAGTATCTCCACTAACTGAGGCGGGGACAGATCTGAGCATCCCCAAAGCCTCTATAGCCCTGTGGGCATAAGTCCTTGGGGGCTAGGAACAGATCTTAGCATTCCCCAGGGCCCCTAAGGCCAGGAAGGCATGAGGAATATGAGTTCCCAGGTCAGGTGAGGCAACCACAGGAATGGGGGGCCGGAGGTATGGGAACAATGGAGTGAGGTAGAAGGGGAGACCTGCTCCCCTGGTGGGGTGCTGGACCGCAGAGTATCTGGGGGGAAGGCAGTGTTTCAGACTCTTGAGGGTGGGGGAATGGATGGCAGGTGTTTCAGGAGGAGGTGGGGGCTGCAGACACAGGATGGAGGGAGGCAGCCAGGGCCCCTGGGAACATGGAAGGATCTGATGTGGTGGAACCCTGCACTGTGGGGCAAAGCTATGAGAGGAGGCTGGTGGGCTGAAGGCCATCTGGAGCCCAGGGGTACAGCAGCCTAGATCCCCTTCCCTGCTTGCAAGCCCTTCCCCTAGCTACCTTGGGTGTGCCGCTCCTGGCTCACGCCCACACCTTCTTCAGAGACATACCATAGCTTTGAGTGCCATCTCATACCCTCAAGATGTCCTCCTCACAGACATCCGAGGACTGAACAAGGAGCACAGTCAAGTCCAGACACTTGGTCTTCAGACTACTGTAACAGCATGGTCCAGTGCTTTGTGTTTGATTGTTAATTAATTTGCTCCCTGGGGTCTGCTGGCTGTCTTTTACAGACACTCAAGTACCTCAAAATGATGTTTGCGACCTTGCCTAAGAGATTATTCCTGATTAGCTGATGAAAAGGCCTAAACCTGGGCAAGGCCGAATGAGGTAGGTTTGGTCAAAGTTCGTGGGCTTTTAGGAGAGAAGGATCATGGGAAGGAGAAGGAAACAGGAGCAGGAAGAGGAAGAAGGAAGAGGCACACGGACACAGGTTAGCATGGGAGAAGCACGTGACTGGCATGGATGGAGGAGTTGGCCCAGATGAAGAATAAACAAGTATTTATGGAATCATGGATGGGAGGTATACTGGATGGAGCTGGAGGCTGGGATTTAAAAGTGGTCTAGAGAGCTAACAGCTGCCATGCCCCAGGTGAAATAAGGCTCTTCAAAAAATCTATCAGGTGTCTGCATCTTTTATTGATTGTGACAGCGGGTTAGATAATACCACTGTAACAATTGTAAGGCTAATAATAAACATTATTAGCCCAACACCCTTTATTTTCTGCAACAGGCTACCATGAAGCAGAGCTTCTAGAGGGCTGAGGCAGGGAGAGTCTAACAAACCATAACGGAGTCTTCACTGAGCAAAATCCTCATCCTCCCCTTGCTTCCTTCACTCCCTAGGGAGCCCCTAAGAGCATTTCCCCCGTGGCCACAGTCCCCACCTCAGGCTCTGCTTCTAGGGAACAAGATCTAAGGTGACGTGGGAGACCATGCAGTCAGACACCCACAACCTGCACCCTCCCCTCTGAGGCATCCCCAGGGCCTAAAAACTCAGCAATCTAACTCCTGAGAGACAGAACGACAAAGCCTGAATCTGGCAATTAGAAAATGTTAAACCCAGCATGACGGTGTCCCTTTGCCACCTGCTGCACAAGGCCGGGGAGGAGCCTACGATCTCTAAGGGCTGGGGGGGAGCTGTGGGCACCTACCCACAAGGGATGAGGTGGCCAGGGCAGCCACACTGTAGTTGCTGGGGCAGGCTCTAGAGTCGGATATGTAGCCATTGGTGGTCTGGAAGCACCTCTGTAGAAAAAGAGAGAGGGGTAGGCAGGAAGGACAGCCAGCTAGAGCACAGCCCCCTCCCCAATCCATTGCTATCACCCACTCATTAGGTGGTGGCCAGCGGCCAGGCATAAAAGGTAGGGAGATCCTATCCATTCCCACAAGACTTCCTTCCCTGGGCTGGCAGGACCGTGGGCCTGGGCTGGGCACAGCAGAGGAAGTGGGGGAGGTGTCAGATGAGCTGGCTGGACTTGAGAAGAGCAAGCACACTGACCTGCCAAGGATCCCAGCAGAAATCCATCTGCTTGTCCTGAAGCAAGAGGAGAAAGGGGATCAGTCAGGGTTGGAGGGAGGGGCACATGGCTAAGTCCTGAAGCCCCTGCAGGGTGGGTGGATCCTTTGGTGCTCTGAGAGGGCAGGGCCTACCCACCTTACAGGTCATGCCCTGATGTCCCCTAGCACTCAGAAAAGGAAGGGGGACATGGTGGCCTTGGGAGGAGAGGAAGTTGATACAGTTAATAGGTACAACCTAAGGCAGAGTGTACCTTCACTATTTCCTGATATCTGGAGATTAAGGACGTTTGAAATTATGTTTCTATGTGTCTGTGCACATGAGTGCAGGTGCCTGAAGAGGCCAGAAGAGGGCATCAGGAGCTAGAATTTTACAAGGTAGGGAGCCACCCAATATGGGAATTGAACTCAAGTCCTCTGCAAGAGCAATACACTCTCAGTCTTTCCAGCCTGAGCCTAGAGGCTTAACTCAGAAAGATGGCTTCTTTTTCTGGCAATGCTGCCATTTGCAAGAGGTGGTGGCAAAGCATCAATGGTACAATTCACATTATATGAGCACAATGCTTATATGTGCTTTAAAAAAAATGACCTAGCTGGCATGGTGCCATATACCTTTAATCCCAGCACTAGGGGAACAAAGGCAGGCTGATTTCTGTGCATTCCAGGCCAGCCTGTCCTAAATAGTGAGTTCCAGGCCAGCCAGCACTACATAGCGAGACCCTGTCTCAAAAGAACCCAGTAATAATAATGATGAAACACACAGCTTGGGAGCCGGGCTTGGTGGTGCACACCTGAAATCACAGCATTCAGGGAGGCAGAGGCAGGCAGATCTCTGTGAGTTCAAGGCCAGCCTGGTCTGCAAAGTGAATCCAGGATAGCCAAGGCTACACAGAGAAACCCTGTTTTAGAAAACTCAGAGGTTAATAGCACTAGCTATTCTTCCAAAGGTCCTGAGTTCAATTTCCAGCAACCACATGGTGACTCATAACCATCTGTAATGAGATCTGGTGCCCTCTTCTGGCTTGCTGGCTCACATGCAGGCAGAATACTGTAAAACAAATAAATAAATGTCTTTTAAAAATACATTTGTTAAAACAAAAAGATAAACAACCAACCAACCAAACAAACAAACAAACAAAATTCCCACACGTCTCGGAGTAGAAAGGTGGCTCAGCAGTTATGAGCATTTGTTTTGCTGGAGGACCTGGGTTCAGTTTCCAGAACCCACAATGCAGCTCACAAACCTCTGTACCTCCAGTTCCAGGGGATCCAGTGCCCTCTTCTGGCCTCCACAGGTACTGCACGCAAATCATGAACACATACACACGAAAGCAAACACTCATACACGTAAATTAAAAAGAAATCTGGGGCTGGAGAGATTTATGGCTCAATGGTCAGGAGCACCAACTGCTCTTCCAGAGAACCAGGTTCAATTACCAGCACCCACATGACAGCTCACACCTGTCTCTTCAAGCTACATCCCTGGGCAAGGATGGAAACTATGCACCAGGACCCCTCGATACACTAGGACCCCTCGCTACAGCTTCCTGATTTACATGGAGACTCCCCTGCTTGTACTCTTGAGACGCTCTTGCCAGCAGCTAAGCATTCTGGGTTGGTAGCAGAACCTACTGTCTGCAAGGCTGCGCTAATGTGGGTGGGAAGACCTTTGGGATGGGGTTGTATTTTCTAAATAAGTCTAGCCTAGTCCCTATACCCAGCCCATTGCAGACCCTCATCCACCTGAACACCAAGCCCATGGTGCCCCTACTGCCCAGGGAAAAGTTGGGGTTGGGAAGGAAGAAGAGAACTGAGAGTGGTTTCTGCTTGCCCTGTGGAAATAAAAGAGCAGCTGGAACCCAGGGCAGGCAGGAGAAGGGTGACGATGGCTAGTTACCTTGCCAGCGACATGGTCTGGAACAATGGCAGGTGGGTGGGTGGAGGGCAGGTCCCGATTTAGGAGGTCTGTGCCCTGGGGCCTGGGGCAGTCTTTGTGGGCACTTGTGAACAGATCTGGAAATAATGATGACAGAAGAAATTGAGAAAAAGTCCTGACTTAGCCATTGCAATATGACAGGAAAAGAAACCGGGGCCTTTGAGCAGAAAAGGAGGAAGTCACAACATCCCTGCTTTACATGCACAAAATCTAACGACTACGCCAAAAAATAGTGGAACTAATGAGCTAATCAGTAAAATTACCTGCAGGATACAAAATTAACACACACACACACACACACACACACACACACACACACTCATATTAAAAACAATCGAGGGATATAATGCACTCGTACTGTCATAGCTGTGATGGTGAATTAGAAACACCTTTAAATCCCAGGAGTTGGAGATGAGCCTCAGCTACAAAGGATCGTATTAATTGTATGCTTTTTGTTTTGTTTTGAGACAGGGTTTCTCTGTGTAGCCCTGGCTTTCCAGAACTCACCCTGTAGACCAGGCTAGCCTTGAACTCAGAGATCGGCCTGCCTCTGCCTCCCCATGCTGTGATTAAAGCTGTGTGTCACCACTGCCTAGCTGTAATTGTATACCTTTAAAAACAAAAAAGAAAAGGCTGGGGTTGGAGATGTGGCTGGATAGGTAGAATATTTTACCTAGCGTGTAAAATCCTGGGTTCAATCTGTAGCACACGTCTGTAACCCCAGCACTCTGGGGTGAACTCAGGAAGATCAGAAGTTCAAGGTCACCCCTGGATATGTAACAACTTTGAGGCTGGCCTGAGCTACATGAGACTCTCTCTCTCTCTCTCTCTCTCTGGTTTTTTGAGACAGGGTCTCTCTGTGTAACTCTGGCTGACCTGGAACTTGCTCTATAACTTGCTCTGTGTAACTCTTGACCTGGAACTCAAAGATCCACCTGCCTCTGCCTCCCCAGCCAAGTGCACCACCATGCCTGGCCTTAAATGTTTTTTTACCCTTTTGTTATAACAATTAGATTAATGTGCAAACACATTGTACAACTATATAAAATATTTTCTTTTTACTTTGAGACAGGGTTTCTGTGTTTGTGTGCGTGAGAGAGAGAGAGAGAGAGAGAGAGAGAGAGAGAGAGAATGTGTATGTGCAGGCCAGAGGACACTTGGGTGTTGCTCTTCAGGCGCTGTCTACTATGTATGTATGTACATATTTATTTATTATTGAGGCAGGGTCTCTCACTGGACTAAAACTTGCCATGTAGGCGAGGCCATCTGGCCAATGACCCTCTCTCTGCCTCTGGGCCCCCATGCTGGGATCACAAGGGCAGGCTTTCCATGCCTGCCTAATGTGGGCTTGGGGGATGGAATGCAGGAAGACTGCCAACTGAATTCTCTCCTCAGCCCCCACTTGTCTATTTTATTGGCTGCAGCAGCCCCAGCACCTGCCGCAGGGCCCAGCACACAGCAGGATCTCATTAGAGGCTTTCTCAAAGGGGAAAAGCAAGGGGTTCAGACAGCAGCACAGCAAGCCAGCCTTAGTTAGAACTCCAGACAGATCAAAACAGCTGGGCTGTCTTCAGCCATGCCTGCAGACACCAACAGGTCAGGGAAGAAGAGGGTCCCCACAGAGGAAGGGCCACAGAGCTAACACCTCAACCCCGCTGGAGGGAGGGAGGTGAGCGCAGGCCTGTGTGGTCAAGGTGAAAGTTTTCAGCCAAATTGCATTCCAAAAGAGGCCAGAGGATCTGGGACCCGCCCAAGGCTGGGATGCAGGGCCAAGGCAGGGAGGTGGGAGGGAGCCAGGCTGTCTGGGACACTACAGGAGAGGAAGGCAAGGTGAAGGCAAAGTTCTCTCCTGCCCCAGAGTGACCCAGGCATAGGGAGGGCAGGGCACTCACGGAGGGCCACACGGGCTCTAAAGCATGTGCTCGAACTCTGCAGTGTCCAGCACAGCCTGCTGCTCACCAGTCCCAACTGTGTGACCCCGAGCCAATGGTGCTCTTCCCTGGGCTCCAGAACCTCTACAAAGGAAGGACCCCACGGCGGGGGCTGAGCGTGCCTCCTGCAAGCCACTCACCAAGCTTATTTTTGGTTTGGTTGCTGCTTAATTACTCATTCATTTATCTGAACGATCTCCAGCTGGAGATTGAAACTGGGGCCTTGTGCATGCTGGGCAAGCACTCTACCAGGCAACTACGTCCTCAGCCCCCTTTTTACCAGGGCAATTTAAACAAACAAACAAACAAAAAAGGAATTGAAGACAATGGAGATGATCAGAGCATGGAGCAGCCTGAGATTCAGTCTTGTGTCATGAATCGTCTGTGTGTCACAGGCACATGGCATGTGCTCATGTGTATGCATGTATGAGAGAGAGAGAATTCCCACAGGAGAAAATTCTCTAGGTGTACACACTGGGTTCAAGGTGCAAAATGTATTTGTTCCCACCGCTACTTTTCTGTTGTGCTAAAGAGACCATGGCTAAGGCAACTTATAGAAAAAAGAGTTAATTGGCAGATTACAGCTTCAGAGGGTCTGCCCACAACCATGTGGGGGCGGGGGAGAAGCAGGGCAGCAGGCAGGTATGGCACTGAAAGTGTGCCTGAGAGCTCACATCCTGATATACAAGCAAAAAACAGAGAGAGAGAGAGAGAGCTAACTGGCAATGGCTTTTGAAACTTTGAAATCCATCTCCAGCGACAAACCTCCTCCGGCAAGGCCACACCCCCTAATCCTTCCCAAACAGTTCTAACTAGGGACCAAGCACTCAAATATATGAGCCTATGGGGGCCCTTCTCATTTACCCAGAGGAGCAAATATAAGTTTGAAAGGAGCAAATATAAGTTTGAAAGGTTGATCAGGGTAAAGTGCCTGCTGTTGATGTGGGTTCCCTCCCTGGGAGCCCTCAGGTGATAGGAGAGAACAGACTCCCAAAAGCTGCTCTATGACCATGATACATGTAATGTCACATGCGTGTGTGTGCGCACGCGCACACATACACACAAGTTAAGAGATACCACTTCCAGTGTGCTGGAATTCTGCATGTCATTTAAACCTGAGTCTGTCTAGCTGCAGGGTGGTGTTGGTACTTGCCTGGATTCTGGGATCTTCTATACTCCCTGAGCTGCCCCTGAAACTCTGAGCTCTTCAGCTACAGAGCAAGGACGGGCAGGGAGCCAGCACAGCAGGCGACACCAGATGTTTGCCACCGAGGTGGAGGTGGGCTGGTGGCCTCCTGGCTCTGGCCCCTCCCCTGCCGGCCTGATCTCATCCCATCTGGGACCCAGGCATTTCTACCAAAATCTCCTTCTCCCCCTGAAGACTTCAGCCCCGTGATGTCATGGGCTGGTTGCCATAGAGACGTCAGGTAATGAACCAGCCCAGGGTGAAATCACAGGCTGCTCTGAGCCCAGCTGGGACCTGGCCACATCATGGCCTTGGTGACTAGAAAAACACAGTGTCCTGTAGGGTGGGGGTGGGGACAGCCCAGGGACCTCCAATGCCTGCTTTTTTGGATGCCTCTCCCAGGGGAGTCCTGGGGTGACACTTCCTTTCTTACACAGTGTACACCCACTCCTTTGTCCTCAGTGTCAGAGGCCCCTTCTTGAACCTGTTCCCTCCCTCACCTCCTCCAGCTACAGGAGTGACAGCCTTCTAGTTGCTATGACAACCTGAAGACCATTTTGATCCTTCCAGGAAAGGGGTGTCATCTAGAGGTCCCCTCCACTTCTCCACTTATCCAGGATGCTTCGTGCCTTTCTACCAAAGCTCCCCAATCAGACTGTCAACCGAGCCACCCAGACAGTTCTCCTTGATGTCTAAACTTAAACTCTTCATGCTTTGGAGCGCCCCTCCAGCATCTTTTCTGAAGTGTGGCTGCTCAGGTCCCTCTCACTCGCTGCAGAGCTGTCCAGAGCCTATAGCTATTCACTGGGGCTCTGGGTCCCAGCCCATTAGCTACCGTCGTTGCCACCTGCACCCAGAGTGTTTCTCGGGAGTGAGAAAATGAGCCTGCAGCCCCCTGGGAGGAGGCGGTGCAGAGTGAAGAGGGCTCTTTCCCAGCAGCAAAGAGAAGCTGAAAAACAAGTGAGCAGCAGGCTGGGCCCAGAGCCCCTGATGCTGCACTCTGGGAGCCAGCTTCCCCAAAGAGGCTCCGGCCACCTGTGGCAAGTGGACGCTTTGGGTGGTCGCCCCAGCTTTCACATGTCAGCTGCGCTTGGCTCTGTAGAGAAGCACCTCAGGCTTAGTTCTCTGGCGCACAGTCCCATGTCCCTCATGTGTGCCCCACTTCTCATCCACGTGTACTTAGGGCTACACTGTGGTGGCCTCAGAGGGGACTGCTCTGTCTCCTTCCCTCAGTTTGTCTTTCTGGACAGTGGGACTCCTGTGTCCTGTTCCTGGACTGGAGTTTGCCTTGGGGTTCCTACAGAGGGAGACCAAAGAGTGTGAGTCATTGGCCTCTCTGCCTGGTCAGTCCTTGCCAGGAGAGCAGGGCCCAGAACTTGGAAGAGGCCCATTCTCCAGTGTCCTCCCAAACCACCTTGGGCCATGATGGTCATGTAATGCTTTGGTTGGCTGAGCTCAGAGGTACTTCTGGGGATTTCTGTCCCGACCAAGGGCCTCCACTTACCCCAGCTCCTTCCCATTCCACCTCTCCTGCTGAGGCCTGGACCACTCCAATCCCCCTTGGCTCTCCAGGAAACATGTTAGGCGAGTGAGCAGGGCATGTTCACCCCACCGAAAGCACGTATGTCCCTTTTGCTCAACAGGCTTCTGTGACCACAGTGGCCAGAGACAGCCTTACAAGGAGTTGTACTTGTGGCTGCCTGCTCCTTCTCCCCTGACCACTCAGCCCTAGTCCCTGGGGGCTTTCCCTTCTACTCTACCCTGGGGAGCTTGCCAGGTTGGCCTAAGCTGACCAGCCAGGCGACCCCCTTGAGGGAGAAGTCTAGCCTATGAGGACAAGATGCCTGTTTATTAAGCATCTCCTCCGGGCCAGGCTCCAAGCTGATTCCTTACCTATGAGTTAGCTCTGAGTCCTGCAAAGTAGGTGGCAACATGCCCACTTGGCAGGTGGCAAAATGAAGTCTCGGACAGTCCAACCGACTTACCCATGGCATTGGGCAATACTGTCAAGGTTCAGACCTTGGGGGCAGTATACAAGCCCAACCACCAAACAGTGCTAATCTGTAGAAAGGGACCTCCAGTCATTTTTTTCTGTGTGGTCTGTGTGCGTGTTCTCTATCCCCCCACTAGACTTTATCAAACATAAAACTGTGTCCCACCCCTCGGACTGAACTCCCAGAGGGCAAGTCCCGTCTACTCTGCCCTAAGTGTCCCACAGAGCCCGCTGCCAGGTTGCTCCCAGCAGGAGCTCTGGCAGGCCCTCTCAGGACCTGGCCTTCTAGACACAATCAGAGATTTTACTCTTCAGAAGGAAGTCTTCAGTGGCCAATGTTTGCTCTGGCACCAGACACCAGGGAGCCCCAGGACCGGCCTGGAGGCTGACTGGCCAGCTGGAGGAGGGGCTGTGGTGGAAAAGTTAGACAGAGAGGCTGTCAAACCAGAGCGCATAGGTGGGTACAGAGGGACCTAGACACTTCCTGTCTGTCCCACTCTGCCAGCCGCTGCCAGTGCCAGCAAAACCTAGCCAGACATGAGGCCTCTGGGTTATCCCAGAAATTTGTTCTGGGCGGTTGGCCATGTACCAAGTGCTTCGGGGGAGAGAAGGGAGTCTTTGGGAGCATGAAGGGCAGGGGCTCTTTGCTCAGCATTGGGGTCTACAGACCTCTCTTTACTGCAGGGGGGGGGTGACCTGGGGTGAGGTCCTGCTCTTCCCTGAGCCCACTTCCCTCCCAGGTTCAAGGAGAACTAACTAGGTCAGGAGAGCAAAGACCTGGCCCAGCCTGCCTCAGGATAAACATCCAATGAGTGGCAACTTAAAAATAGATGAACCCGAGGCTCTGGTTGTGCCTCAGTTGACAGCATGCTTGCCTAGCATTCGTGAAGCCCTGGGTTCCATCTCTTAGCATCACATACATGAGGCATGGTGGCACATGCCTGTAATGGTAGAACCAGGGAGATGGAGGCAAAAGGATCAGAAGTTCAAGGTCATCCTCATCTACACAGCAAGTTCAAGAACTCCTGGTTAAACAACAAACAAACAAAAAAGATAAATAGGGCAGAGATGGTTGCTCAAACATGAAATTCCAGCATTTGGGAGATGGAGACAGGAGGATGACCTTGAGTTCAATGCCAAGCCAGGATATGGAATAAGACCCTGTCTCAAAACTAATAAATAATAGCCAGGTGTGGTGGTTCACACCTTTAATCCTAGCACTTGGGAGGCAGAGGCAGGCGGATCTCTGTGACTTTGAGGCCAGCCTGTTCTACAAAGTGAGTTCCAGGACAGCCAGGGCTACACAGAGAAACCCTGTTTTGAAAAAAACAAACAAACAAAAACACCCAAAAATAAATAAAATAATAAATAATAATATATAAATTTAAATCTTGAAAAAATTAGAAATAGATAAGGGACACGTAACAGTTTTTAAAGGTAGTGAGTGGTCAGTTTTCCACTGTCTCAATGCAAATGTCTGGCACCTACCGCTTCCTCCAAGGCAGGAGGGGTCCCCTTTCCACCAAAAAGGCCTGGCCAACTGTCTGCAGGAAGGCTGATACACTGGCCCCATGGGTGTGAGTTGATGGTGCCAGAATTGGTCATGAGGGTGTCTTTACATTGAGACTCTCCCGCCAGCTCTATACCCCCAGGCCACTACTGTTCCCGCCCAAATTGCTAAGATCGCACACAGTGGAGCCGGGACTGCAGGCGGGGGACTCTTGATTCCCCGGCCTGGCAGCAGAGGCTAACTGAAAGGTAGGGTGGATCTCTCAGGGGGGACCTGGACCTGGAGTAGTGGGACTGGGTAGCCCCAGTTAGTTGCAGGCTCCAGGCTTCACGGAGCATCAGTGCAAAGTTCATGAGCCCTGGCCTCCACTTCAGGCTCTGAAGATGGCCTATGGCAACCCTTGGCAGCAGGATACTGTGGTCAACAACTGACTCAGGCGTGCAGAAGAGGGGACTGAGGAGCCCAGGAAAGCCTGAGTTCCACAAGGCCAAGGGCTGGCGCTGGAGTGAGAGGACGGGAGCCCTGCCTTTACTGTTTCCCAGCTTATGGGCCCCGGCAAGGTCATTCATGGGGACTAGGACAGTACGTAGCTTTTGTGCCTTCAGCTTTTCGAGTAGAACCCAGTGAGTCACACAAATGCTGTCAGGACGAGTGAGAGGGTGTCACCTCTGCGCCGTGGCTCCTCGGCTGTGTCTCTAGAAGAACGGCTGTCCTCTGTCCATGCACCCCTATCTCTCACCTCCTACTACAGTTAGATGATACAGCCTGATCTGGGGATGGCACTCAGGAAGCCCAGGAGGCAGGAGGCAGAATAGAGAGTGTCTCAGCCAGTGTGACCACAAGCTGCCCTGGTGGAGGGGGGTCATGGGAGGAGTATAGGAGTCGGAGGACCCAGGCCTCCAGCTCACAGAGTGACCTCGGCAGGCAGCCCAGCCTTTCTCATACACTCTGCTCCTGTGCTCACAGCTCAGTGCGCTCAGGCATGGGTTGGCCAAGGGATGGAGAAGGGACCTGGTCACTAAGGAAACGTCCGGAGTCCTCACTCCCAGAACTGCCTCCATGGGAGACTTCCCTGAGACTTCAGGGTTCCTGGGGACAGACTCTGAGAGTCTGGAGCTGACTGTTCGTCACTCTCCACTCTGAGAACTGCCTCACTGGCCGGGGGCTATGCTGGGTTCCTCAGGTCTCACAAGGTGCTGTCCTGGATTCTCCACGCTGCGTCTGACACAGCGCCTGACACCCAGGAGGTACCATGTTACCATCCATCAGCTTGAACTGGCTTCAGAGAGCCTGACCCCACTCCTCCCCTCCCCCACCCGCGATCCCACTGCTGACACCTTCCAGGGACACCCTGAGTGACCTCTCTGAATACACCCCCAGGAACCTGAGAGCAGAACCCCTTAGAGCCCAGAGGATGGAGAATGGGTGCTTTCCAACACTCCCCAGACCGAGGTCCTCTCCGGGGCTGCCCAGCCCGACTCTGCGGCCAGTTTACACTTCTCCGCCTGGGTCAGTTACTGGAGTGATCAGTGAAATGGCGCTCTTCCAAGACCTTGGGGTTAGGGTGAGTAGACTTGGCCTCTATACACTCCCAGCCCTGACCCCTGCTCCCACAGTGAGTAAGAGTCCCAAGTGGGACAATGGCCCAACCTCTATTTGGGAGGGGGGGTTGTTTTGTTTTGACACAAGGTCTCATGCTGTGGATGCTGATCTTCCACCTTCTGGGTCCTGGGATTACACGCCTGTCCCCATCCGTCCCAACCTCTTTTCTAAAATACTACTCCAAAGACAAATATGCCCTCCCCCGCCCAGCCTCTATGAAAGATCCCCCCCCCCCCCCCCCCCCATTTACAGACAGGGCCCCTCATAGCCCCCAACAGAGGAATGAAAAAAATCACCCCAGTTCCCTGGAATAACCTTGGAATAACCAAGGTGCCAGGTTGGAGACAATCGCCCAGGGGTTACTGGGAACATCAGCTGTCTGTATCCTCCCTCTCCTGTCCCCTGAGCAGGGGTGGGGGTGGGGATGAAGTTAGGGACGAGGCTGGAGTAGAGCGAGCCATGATAACCTGTTCATCCCCACTGACCCCTTCCTGCTACGGGGGGTGGAGGGGTGGGGAGGGGGCTGTGGGGCTAAAGACACACACAGGCACAGGGAGCGAAAGGGATCCCGGGCTAGGAAGGCCTGAGTCTTGAGAAGGTCCGCCTGTCTTCCTGGAGCTCAGTGGCCCAAAAGCGGACTAGAAAGAACCGGAAGCCTCCCTCCCTCCTTCAGGCACACTGCAGGAGGCGTGTAGCTGCAGGGAAGAAAGCATGGCACCGGGACCTTGCTTCATGCCACCTGCCGGGTGTCGAGTGGCGCGTGGGGTGCGGAGACCTCGGCCCGCTCTGCGCGCTGCCCGGCCCCCCTGACGAGCCCTGTCCCCGTGGGGCGCCGTGTCCTCTGGGGCGCGGCTGGTCCGTGAAGGGCGGACACCCACCCTGGGCTTCCCCGGACCGCGCGCTGGTGCCGAGCCACCGCCCCCCGCCCCTTGCCGCGACCCGGGCCGCGGGGTCCTCACCTCGCGACACGCAGGATCCCATCACGGGGCGGCGGGGCCGGGCCACTGCGCCTGGGGTGCGGCGGGCGGCCGCGCGCTCATGTCTCCTCGGGCCGGGGCTGCGCGGCTCGGCCTCCACTCGCGCCTGGGTCGTCGTCCCCGCCGCCGCGTCCCGAACGCCTCGCGCCGCGCCCGCAGCTGCCAGGGCCGGGCGACACCGCGGCGGGCGGGGACCCAGGGAGAGCGGGGGGCGGGGCTGGGGTGCGCCCCGCCCCCTCCATGCCGGTGCACCTGTTGTCGCAACCCCCAAGTAACCGAAGTAACCGACTCGCTGGGCCCTGTAAGGAAGACTTCTAGCCTCAGACCTGAGGAGCTCTGCTGTCTGGAGCTCAAGGTCAGGGGACAGGGCTGGGAATGGGGAATTCTGCAAGGATCCTCATCCGCTTCCGCTACATGGGTCCCAGCCTTTGCCTGCCGAGCCATCTTCCCGGGTCAGGGCTTTTTGATAGCCACCTGCTCGTGGGGGATGCTGGCGCAGCGTGGGCATCTTGACGGAGGACCAAGACTTGTAGCTCCCTGGCTGGTCAGAGGTCTCATGCAAGAAGGTAGGGTACCTCTCAGGGCTCCTCCAGGGCAAAGACAGTTAGGCACAAGTCTTTTGCTCCACCTGGGAATTTCTGTCATGGAGCAGCCGTGGCCCCGATAATGGCTGGCACTCACACCCCCACCCTTCGTGTGTGGTCCCCTCCTCTCACTCATGTACACTCAGAGTTTAGAGAAAGCCTTGCCAGGCCCGCAGCACCCTGTGTCTGAGGTAAATTTCATCTCGCTCCATGCTTGGACATTCCTGTTCCCAGGCAGAGGATTCACTGGGTCTGTTTACCAGTCACTGGAGACAGCCCTGCGGGATGGATACGGCTTAAAGCAAGGGTCTGGGCTGGGGCTGAAGGCCCCAGGCCTGGTGGGGCTGCCTCGGGGTGGGCAGTTGAGTTATTGGGGAAAGTCCTGTGCTGGCCCTGGAGGGGTCAGACCTAGGTGCGAATGGAGACTCGGCTCCTATAAACCGTGTTACTTAAACACACAACCGAATCTAGAAGGAGCGTGTGTGGACATCACTGCTCCCTACACAAGGCAGTGCAGCCCCATCTGCCAGACAGTGGGCGTCACAGACAATCCCGAGACGGCTGGTTTACAGTGCACAGGGCCAGGGGTGACGCCACTTCTAGGATGCCAGCCCTCAGAATTAGGAGGATCAGAAGTTCAAGGTCATCCTTGGTTACATAGTGAGTTCAAGGTCAGTCTGGGCTCCATGGGACCCTGCCTCAAAGAAGAAAAGGATTTAAAAAAAAAAAAAGGATATGGCAGGTTGTGAGGAAATACCCCTGGGAACCGATTCCTAAAGGACCCCACGGGTTGGCTGTTACAACAACAGCAACACAGCCTCCCACATTCACAGAGGGAACTGAAGACCAATATTTGTCTGAAGCACCAAGTACATGGCAGCGTGAGACACGCCTGAGTGTCCGCCCTCCGGTGGGGTGGACACAGTGCTCTCTCCAGCTGCTCAGGGCTTAGCACTCCGCCCTCCAAGCCTGGCCTCGATGAGGCGGCTGTGAAGGGACCATTCTTTACCACAAGGACTCCCAGGTGGCTCACTCGGAGTCAGGGGTGCCCCCGCCTCTGTGTGGAGGAGGAAAGGTGGACCTGCCTGGGGCCAAGGTCCGGTCCCATTCCATGCATATGGCCTGGCACCAAGCAGGCAGATGTGACTGGCCTGCCCTTCTTAGCCCTCTCAAGAACAAGTGGACATGGCTTGGAGGCAGGGCTCTGACTCACCGTGACGTAAGAGCAGGAGCTGGTCACAGCTGCTGGTGCTGCTGGCAGCATTACAGCCAAGGGACTGGGGTGGTGGTGACGAAAGAGGACCCCTGAGGAGAGGAGAGAAAGGGCCATTCTCAGAGTAGGGGATGTCTGGGAGGGGGAAAGGTTGATGGGATGAGCAGAAGCATCTGTCTGGCCAACTCAGAGACACAGGTGGGGTGGGGTGGAAGCTCCTGCCTCATGTGTTTCTACTGCTGACTCAGTAGAAACAGAGCTGTACATCACTGTACAGAGCTGGTATCATCCCGAGACCGGGCCATACTGGGGGAGGCATGTGGCTCTTCCTTGCATGTCCACATTCACCTTCCCAGTCCTTGGAATTCTGCTGAAGCGGAAGATGTCCAGACAGCTCCAAGATGTGTGGCTGTCCTCCCTGGGAAGGTCTGTCCTTTCCCAGATCACCCCACAGTCCATCTGCCCTCTGACCGTCCACTGCCCGCCTCTCACACCCACTCATGGCAGAGAGGGGAGGAAACCTGGGAGGATAGTGCCAGGATGATGTGCCCTTCACCCCTCATGTTCTGTTCTCCTGGCACACTCCCGAGGACCCAGACAGAGCCCCCCTCCCACGGTTGCCCATCAGTGAACAGACACCGGCAGCTCTGAGAGCCTGCCCTGCTGTGGGCATTGAGGCGTGGAGAGGGCACTCTGCAGGGCTGCACGGAAGGAAGATTAATCTGCAGTAGCCACTACAGCGATGAATCAGACCAGAGCCTGCCTGGCAGTCCCAGGGTCAGCGGGGACACTGTGGAGAGCCATGTGTGAGATGAGCTCGGGGTCAGGGTGGGACGTGCTGTTTCCATAGCCGGTAGAACCTTGAGAGAGGAGAGTTTCTGCCAAGGGCCAAGGGGACATGGGGGCAGCTTCAGGTCTATGACGTCCCTGAAGCCAGATTTTGAAGGCTGGGTAGAGCGCTGGCAGCTGGAACTGGGAGGGCTCTCTATACACAGAGGCTTGAGAACAGGGATGCTTGGGGACCCTCGGGGCACATGGGACATCTGGGGAGAGGTAGGAGGTGAGGCTGTACCCCCTTAACGTTGTAGAAGATGCTCTACTGAGCACAACAGCAGCCATCTTCATCAGCTTATATGTGCCCACTTGTAAGAGGCCATTGGCTTACTGACCACTGAGCCTTCTCAAAGGACAGGGCGGGGAGATGGAACCCTCGCCTGGGATTCCAGTTACTCCTCTCAGCTATCTGGATGCAATTCTGCCCTCAGAGGTGGCTAAAATATATAGGCTAGGGAGAGTTGACTGAAGGGGATTCCGTCTTTATGGCTATGGGGAAGCCATCATCCACGCTGGGTGAAGAAGCTGATGCATGCTGCTACTGTGGGATTCCCCGCCCCCAGGCTCCTGCAAATAACTCCTCCCCCATATGCTGTAAATGAGCTCAATAAATTCACAGGCTCCCCAGGGCAAACTGTGGTGGAATGGCACTTGGGTTTGTCACTGACAAACCTCACAGCAGAAGAGACAGCAGAGGGCCTGGCAGACCCAGGTGGGCATCCTGCAGATGGGAGGATCCTTAGTAGGTGCTCAGTTAATAGGTGGTGACTAAAGGTGACCAGGTGACACCTGCCCTAGGTCCCACATCTGGAAGATTGAACAGGGCCGAGACCTGTCTCCTCGCCAGCAGGTACTTGCTGGGCCCTGGTGTGTCAGGCAAGGGCTGTGTAGTTCAGAGGCCCAGTGCACTGGAGTCTACAGTGTCAGTGGAGGAATTCAGTGCCAGTGTTTCTCCAGCAGTGACCAGCAGCCACTTGGGACCACAGCGCTGGCAGCACAGGGCAGGGAAAGCCCGTGAGGAGAAATGATTTGGCCTGGTCTGGGAGGCATGCACACTTTCAGTCTGATAGGGGAGATAAGAGTCTTGCGGGGGCTCAGTCTGATGGAGGCAGAGACAGCCACTGTGCTGGGCCCTGCGATGCCAGCGAGAGACGGGGAAGCCTCCAGGAGATGAGAATAGAGGTATATTAGAAAGCTGGGTGTGGTGGTCCACGCCTGCAATCCCAGCACTCTGGGAGGCAGAAGCAGGCGATCTCTATGAGCTCGAGGCCAGCCTGGTCTACAAAGTGAGTCCAGGACAGCCAGGTCTACACAGAGAAACCTTGTCTGGAAGAACTAAAATATAAAATAAGAGGTATATTAAGTTCACCTCTCAAATGCCTAGTGCAGGCCTGGTCCATGATGGAATCCCTGCTGCTTCATGACAGAATCCCTCTCTCAGCGCCCAGGGACTGGTTTGTAACTCTGGTTCTGAAGATCTCTGCAAGCAAAGAAGCCCCTGTCAGAGCCAAGGACTAGATGACAGGTTGAGGGGCACATGTCACACAGCAAGTGACCACCAGGGGGCAGCCTGAGCCGGCATCATTTTAAAAAGGTTTCATGTTTGCCTTTGGCCAATTGACACAGAAAGTACCACGCTGGCAACTCTGACCCAGGTAGGGCTCAAGGTTGTGCACACTGAGACCTGAACTTGGGGGTCGGTGAGGGGGAGGAACCAAAACAGTGCCCCAGCTCTGGTCACTGGCCCTGAAGTTTACCGTGGAGCTGTGTCGGCCCCAGGACTGTGTCATCTCCACTGAGCTATGACTACAAGGCTGCGTCCACCCAGCAGGGGGCCTTGTTCTAATAGAACATCTCTAACTAGAACACAATCCCCACGGTCTGTGATCCGCATGGTCCTGAGTCCACAGTATGGATGTGGAGGCTGAGAGCCAAGAGGAGCACTCAGGCTAGGTAGAAGAAGAGTGGGGACTTGAACCCACAGCCATGGGATCCCTGATCCAGTGAACACACAGTGGGAGGGGCCATGTAGCTAGGTGCAACTATTGAAGACCTACCTGGCTGGGAGTCCCAAGGGCCAGAGGAGGAGGCTGAGGAGCCTGGGAATGTCACAGTCTGACATTAAATGAACCTAAGAAAGTCACACTCAGCTACAGACTTGGGGCAGGGGACTTCCAGTGAGGGTCAGGTGTCAGTCCGAGTCCTCCTCACACACCCAAGGGGGCTAAGTGGAACAAGAGGTTTCTGGTGTGGCAGGGGGCCAGCAGAACCCTCAGGCAGCCCCAAGTCTGATGGGAGAGACACAGCTGACGGCTGAGACCCCGTCCTGAGCACTGGGGACGTTGGCATGAGGTCACCCAGCCTAGAGGTTCACAGGCGCGGTGACACCTGGTCATGAGGAGCCCTGCTGAGCCACACGGGACCTTGGCGGGACTTAGGGGTGCAGTTCAGGCACGGCACATTGCATGGCGTGAGCCCGTTTTTAACCCTCCAGTAGCCCAAGAGGTGGTGAGTC